TAGCACAACTTTTGTATTCCAGTRACAGAAAACAAGTTATTTATAAGAATTTAATGAACGTATTCTGTGGCTCCAGCATGAAGACTCAGTAATCCATTTACTTGCCAGATTATATTTTATTTTGTTCTCCAAAGGGCTTCTTGACTTTGACTCGCTTTCATTTTTGCTTAAATAAGAGTTTTCAATTAAATAGAGTTGTATTAACACTAATCCCAATCTACCTTATGCTGATACCACTGGATTTTCATGTTGTTCAGACACTGTTATTGGTGGAGCAAGTAGTGTCTAGGGACATTATACCTAACTTGATAATGATGGTTTTACTAAGCCCTTATCCTGGCCAGGCCTCTGGGCATTATACAGATAATTAAAATTGGATCTTCAAAAATTTGAAACACAATGCACCTTAGCAATAATATTTTTCTACTTTTAAACATGATTTTAAAAGCCATTTTTAAAATGCATTTCCTTGGCCTGGTGAATTTGCTTTCTTTTTTTTCCCAAGGATTACAGAGAGTGCATAGCAAATTCAGCCTTGAGAATACCCAGGAGCTGAAGACTCAAGTAGGCTACAGCTGTCTTCACCCACAGTATTCTAAAAGAACTAATGAGATGAGAAGTCTGCAGCTGGTGGCAAGCACAATAAACCATGAGCCAAGGGCTTCTCTTCATCAGAGCCTCCCCTTTCCCCATGGGATCCCAAAGGAGACAGAATACTAACAAAGCCAGCAGGCTGTCTCATTCCACACTATTGCTCATTTGCAGCTATAATTGGTAGCTGAGGTTGCATTCTGTATACTGAAACTGTCATACATGAAGGAATATATTTGTTCATTGTGATACAGATATAAATCGGCCAGTTTTCAAATACAGAAAGACCAAACCAGATACTCAACAATAAAAYTGTAGCAGAGAAGATACTGTTCAAAAAAATTAAATGTTTATTGTAGGGATGCAAAACCGAGGTTGTTAAAACTACATCTGCTACTTGTTTTTAATATCTTGCTACTTAATTCAACTGATTAAACATTTACACATTCAAACCAACATTAAAAAGCACAAAAAATTCCTAGGTTTTGACAAGATGCATTATTCTCAACTGTCAAGGTTAAAGTGCTATTGTTAATAATTGGGTTTCTTTGCATTTTCAGTATGATATCTTTAATGTTTGCTGTTTTGCATTCAAGAGGAAAAGGYAGAGAGATACATGTGTATGGATCTCCCTCGTAAGAAAGTCCACCTGGGCATCTCTGGTGCCACGGTTTCGTGGTGCTCTTGAAGTGATCTGATGAGGCAAGAGTTTGTTGGCAGCTTCTGCCATCATCCTCTACTGTGGTGTGCCAGAACGAGCCCCAGACGAGGCTGGGAAGGTTGGATGTGGAGAACTGAGGGAGGGGACCTGACCACCTCCTCTTGGACAGTGGTTTCCTCATCTAGAAAATGAGGGGCTTTGGGTACTTGAGGTTCAGTTCACCTCCATGATTGTGTGAATCCATAGGAGAAAAGTGTCTCCCTGATCACCCAGCACTGATAACGAAGCTTCAGAAATGGACTTTTGGGAACAGTGTATGAGGTCCAAAGCAGAGAAGTTTTGAATCTTTGTTACACTTTCTGTAGTCAGTTAGTCTATGTCAGATTTGAATGGAGACTTCCTGAAGCTGTCAGCCTGGAATGGGACTGGCGTTGTGAGGAGGAGCACGCAGTGGAGGTCCGTCTCACCCATTCAGTGTATCAAACCTTCCCTGGGCTCATAGCCCTACCCAGGTCCAACTCTGGGGAGACTTGCCCTTTGATTAATTTACTTGTACATGACAATGGTTTATGCTGACCGCAATTTAGGCCAAGTTGTGTTTTCTTAAATTACTTGTTTCTTGGTTTGTGTATTACTGCCCTTGTCATATGCTGCCATTGCTGTTATTCCTTTAGCCCTAGCAGTAATTATGTATGCTGTATTTTGTGGATATATTTTATCTTTCTCTTGAAGTGGGCAGGTTTAAAATTCATAGTGATTCTGCACTCTGAATATCAGTTCTACAGTCCCACCTCCTCCCCCCTCATATTTTAATAAATCCAAAATCAGAAGTTGTCTTCCAGTTACGGCATGTTTTATTGGCTGAGTGTTCTTCTTCCTAATAGTACATAAAATAATGGCGCATCCTGTAACTGATGGCCTCTTGGATGTAGGAAATGTATGGTATTGACTGTTCCACTCCTTCAGGCTCCCTAGTTGCTCAGGTTTTGTAAAATAAAACCACCAGTGTCATGAGTGTGGTGTGCCATGACACTCCCCAGTCAATAGGCAAAAATCGGGTAGAGGATTTTTCCCTCAGGTGAGATAAACTGGCAAACATTGGCCAGGCTTTGGAACATTATACTGATGATTAAAATTTACCCCTCAGGGTGGGCTAGGGCTCCGTGGCAGAGCACTTGCCTGGCCTGTGTGAGGCCTGGGTTCGACCCTTATCACCACTTAAAAATAAATAAAGGTGTTGTCTGTCTACAACTAAACACRCACACACATATATATAAAACACTTTTTTWAAAAAAAATCATCAAAATATTTTAGTTATAACAGTAAGATTTTTCTATTTTTAAATGTTTTAAAATTCATTTTAAAAATGGGTTCCTTGCCTGTTTCATTTGGTTCCAATTCTGCCTATAATTCGCTGTGCTCTCTGTGGCAGTTCCATGTGCTTCCTGGGGTTTGGCTGTCTTGTTTGTTTTGTTTCGTTTGCGTCTCTGTTTCTTCCAACTGGCCTGACTCCGTGTTGGTTGGGCCTCCTCCTCTGAGCCCTTGGACTCTGCCTGACAGCATCCTGTGTGTGCCCCTCTGCGTGGAGCTCTTCAGTAGATAGGCTTTGATTGAGGGAAATGATGCTGAAAGTGATTATTTAATATGATGTTAATTTTTAATTTGGGGGGAAAAAGCAAGCTTGATTGAGGGTTTTAATTAAATTTAAACTTAATTTAATTATTCTGACCTAAAAGAAAAGTTTTTTTTTATTTACTTTATTTCACTACGTGATTGTTGCAGATTTTATGCCAGAATTTTTTCTGCAAAGATGTGGGATGTGACCATTAATGTGAATTTTTAAAGAAAACATTGTGCCAGTATCACCTAAAAGTCCTTTCTACCTTAGTAGCAAGATCAGATGCATTCGTGCACTGGCAGCGGTGCTGTGCGGTATGCAGGCAGACTTGTCCCTGTCAGCAGGGGACTTATTTCTCATGGCGAATCAGGCGCAAGACCACCTGTACAACTGAATCTTCATCACAAGAGAAGTTTTGAGGGTGCAGTTCTCAGTTGGAATTTAAGGATCCCTACTGCTGACAGTAATATCGCTTTGCGCAGAGCTCAGGYTTACCAAGTGACTTCAGTTGCCCAACTCCTCATAGGCAGCTCCTCTCAGTGTGTTGTTGCTACGTCATGGCGGCTGACCTCATGCCCATAGCTGTGCCACATGGCATGTTTTTACAGCCTTAAAAGTCGGTGTCACCAGCTAAGTTTGCTTGTTCAACATTTTTAGCCCATTGTGGGGCCTTTTTGTAGCTTCTGGACAACCTTGAGACAGGCTTCAAGTTCAAGGTCACATATTTACCCAATTATCTTTCTTTCAAGTTTTATTTTCTCCCTGACCCTCACATTTCTTTTTCTTTGCATAATTTATTTATAACYTTCTCCCTACAAATTAACATGCTATATCGCTTACTGAGTAGCGATTGAGTTTTGAATGGCAGCTTCTCAACATGTTTTCTTTGATTTGTGAAGGTTGGTATTAGATCTTTGTTCATGTCCAGGGCCTGCTTTGTGCTGGAGCTGCCCTCATCTCCCAGACAGTGGTTTAGGTAGGGTATCCTGCCTGACTTGTCTGGACATGTTCCCCACAGTCGGTGGTCCCTTCGCAAATGCTGCAAAAAAAAAAAAAAAACAGGAAAGGAGACTCCCCACCCACCCGAACACTTCCTCTCTCTGCAGTATGTTAAACTTACCTCTGACCTTATAACTTGCTGGGGATTGAACCCCCGGGTGCTTTACCACTGAGTCATTTCTTCAGCCGTTTTTTAAATTTTGAGACAGGGCCTTGCTAAGTTACTGAGGCTGGCCTTAAACTTGAGATCCTCCTGCCTTAGCCTCCTGAGTTGCTGGCCTGATAGGCATGCACCACTACGCATGACTACAGCTTGTTTATTTTTGGCACTTCACAAATAATTTTTTATTTCTATCCTTAGAGTATGTATATGTGTGTAATGATAAGAACTTTTATAAAGCAGATAGGTGAGAAAAGATTTACTCCTTTTATTTTCTCCATTCTGTCAGGAATAGGGGATTAAGGCCAATGAAATTTACATGCACTAGAACCTTGAACAAAGTCTAGAGTTTAGCACCCTTCCTCTGTGGCATGATATAGCTATGTCAGTCCCCTGACACCTGACCTTTACTGTCTTTGACAGTGAGAGGCTGACAGGAATGTAGTCCTTCCTTGAGGAACCCAGATCTGTGCCTCCTACAGCTCTCTGAAAACAACCTCTTWGGAGAGGTTGACCAAGAACTGGAGCTATTCAGAGCAGACCTCACCACAGGAGAGATAGGGGGACGCTCTCTGGGCATCAGGAGTCCAGGACAGCCATCTGCAGGTGTTGTTGAAGATGAGATGGTGTGTTTTATTTCTTGAATGTGATTACCTGTGTATCAAAATGCTGAGACTGTTGAAAAGTGTTGGCAGATTCGTTCTCAGATAGCTGTCTGGTAACCAGTCATAGTGGATTGCTGATCAGGACTTTTATTACTTGTTATTTTGTAGTCATGTTGCCGAAGATAAAAGTTTAAAGCAAAGAGAATAAACTGCGAACTTAATTGCATGCAGGAGTATTTTACTACTTGCATGCAAAAGCATAGGAAGTTGAATGAGTTTTGGTAGCTGCAAAGAGGGCTGTTCTGGTGAGGTTAAAGGGTTTTTTCTGGTTTTCTTTTCAGCCTCTGATTCTGTTTTTCTTTACAGGACTATAAAACTGATGAAGACCCAGCATTATTCCAGTCAGTCAAGACCAAGAGAGGCCCTCTGGGACCCAACTGGAAGGTACTGGAGGCTGACCTTTCTGACAGGCAGAGTCTTGGCAACAGAGCACTTGACAGGTCCTGAGTCTTGGAAAGCTGGGGACGTTTAAGTGAAAAATAGAAATGGCACAAAAATTGTTTTATTTGTGATAAGGACTTAGGACCAGTTGCAGTTGGCCAGCAAGTCTGTGCTGCATTAACAAACAGAGCAGAGCCGGACTGTCACTTTCAGTATAATGCTATTCTGATAACTCTTAAAAGAGACAAGTGATTTAGTCTTTGGGGGCTGTAACGWTCTCTTTTGAGACTTGAAACAGTACAAAAATCCATGTTAAATGAAGGCTTATGGTTTAAGTTTAGTTTTAGTAAAAATTGAACAGGTTTGCTTCATCCAAGCTCATGTTCCTGCCCTTTGAATAGTTACATTTTTGGAAAGCAGGACTCCAGAGAGCACTTCTTGTGGCAAGTAGTTGTTTTTGGATAAAGGGGGCACCCTTACTGTCCTCATGGAAGTGAGACACAGTGGCCAGGYGGTGATTTGAATTGCCGTGGAAGCATAACGCACTCGAAAGCTCTCCACTCAACGAAATGACAGACCAAGCGTTGACGGCAAGTTATTGCAGCTAATTTGACAGGAGAAGAAGAGCTGAAGGACCTGAACCTGCCCTGAGCAGACTTTCCACCCACAGGGTTGACTTGGTCACCAGTCTGTACACAGTGCCCCTGGTCCAGGGCATCGGTAAAGGGCGTCTAGGTGCTGGTTGTTGCTTATAGGGAGGGGATTATTCTGACACCCCCACCGATAACTCAGATGACTCATGGAGCGGTTCTCCATCAGTGTCGAGTGTTTTGTGGACCGTCTGGTGTATCAGCCAAAAGGAGGAATGAGTTCTGACTTGGTTTACAAGAAATGACTCGTGGTTGATTTCATATTCGCGTTTGTCCTCTGGGCAGAGTTCAGTTCAGAATTCTCCCAGCTTAATGACCATGGCTGGAAACTCGAACCCCAGAGTGTGCTCTTTGCCACTTACAAATTAAAGAGCCGACTCAGCGTGCGTGATCTAAGTTCACTCTGGTGGATCTGCAGATTGTTCCCACCCTTTCCAGGCTTCTGCTCCAGGCCCCGGGCTCCCTCTGAGCGGAGGAGCAGGCCCGCCAGTGGCTTCCGCTGTGCCTGGGTGTCCTACTCCAGCGGGTACTGACTACAGCTGGTGCTGCTGCTGCAGAACATAGAGGAGCGTGAGTTGAGGCTTGGAGGGGAGCTAAGTTCTGAATCTTCTTCAGATTGTCAGTGTTTCAGGTGTAGATTTTAAAAGGCGATGCTGCATGCCGAGGTGGGTTTAGCACTCTTGGTTTCAGATTTTTCCTGTGGGAACTCCTAATTATATAACAGGTCACAGATGTATTGGATGCTGGGACTTTTACCTGACTGTTGACTTTTAAGAACTTAGAATATACGCATTGATTAACATTGCTTTGTCTTTCGATATTAATGATTATTTAAATTTTTGGAATAGGTTCTGTCTTTAGAAATAATATGAGTTTAACCTTGGTGAATGATGACAGTTGAAGCATGCTATACTTCCTAAATAAGAGGAGGGATCAGGAAGACATACATGTAGCTATGGGAGGAAGGAAGAGGAAATCCTGTTCTGGACCCGAGGCACGGGGTTGTGAGTGCCGGGTGCTGGGTCTGCAGCCCTTCAGAAGGCCTGTGGGCCGCCCCATCTGCGCGCTCAGCAGAAGGTTGCGCCTTACCAGTCCACATTCCAAGGAGGATTCAAGGCCAGGAGTGGATCTTCAACCTCTGGTGGTGTTTTTGTTTGGTGGGGGCAGGTGATGGAACCTCGTGCCTCACACATGCTTGGCAGGCACCCCGCTACCGAACTACGTCCCAGCCCCTGTGATCTCAAAAAACTTTTCCTGTGTATTCCATGCTGGTGTTCCCTCTCAGTTTTGCAGTGTTTACTGCCTGTCTGCACTAGACTGGATAAAGGGAGAGGCATCCTTGGTGGGCACTCAGCAAGGTCACATTTAATCTTCACGACTTTCCTCTGGGGCAAGTACAGCTGCTTCATTTTACACATGAGGATGTGGCCAGAGAAACAGGAGTTGTAGAAGCAGCAGCATAATGTCACCTGATTCTGTGCTAGTCTTATGTGTGTAAGGTGTGGAGTCGCAGCAGAATCTCACTCTTAATCCAGTGGCCCCCAGATCACCAATCCCATGCACCATCACCACCCCCAGCGTGCTTTAGCGCCATGACAAYTGTGTGGCTCTGTGAATGCCTGGTATTTGTCAGAATTTCATGATTGTTACACCAGTGGTGCATTTCCCATGATCAGGAGATCTGTAAGTGACACAAGCACTAATGGAGATGAATTAAAAACTAAATCTGTACAAGTTATGGCTTAAATAACTTAACCCTGAGAGAAAACCTTTGCAAGCTACTCTTCTGACAGCAGATTAATATCTAGAGAATATAAAGAACTCAAAAAAATCAACACAAAAATAAGACAGATAAGTGGGCAAATGAGCTAAACAGACACTTCTCTAAATGCAAATGGCCAGCACATTCAACATCTTTAGCAATTAGGGAAATGCAAATCAAAACCACCCTGAGATTTCTTCTCACTCCAGTCTGAGTGGCAGCCATCAAGAATACAAATAATAACAAATGCTGGAGACAGAGGTGGAGAAAAGGGGCACTGTTTCACTGTTGGTGGGACTGTCAATTAGTACAGCTGCTGTGGAAGTCAGCGTGGAGGCTCCTCAAAAGACCGGGGATGGAAATGCCATATGACCCAGCTATGCCGCTCCTTGGTGTGTAGCCCAAAGGGTTAAAGTCACCGTGCTGTAGCAACATGTGTCTACCCGCGGTTACAACAATTCACAGTAGCCAATCTGTGGAACCAGCCTAGGTGCCTCTCGGCAGATGAATGGATGAAGAGAATGCATATATCCACAATGATGTTTTATTCAGCCATAATGATAATGAGATCGTGTCATTTGCGGGAAAATGGATGGAACTTGAGAACATGATGTTAGGGGAAATAAACCAAATTCAGAGTCAAGGGTCATGTGTTTTCTCTCATATGTGGAAGCTGGAATGGAAAAAGGAAAAGAAAGGGGTGTGGGGTGAAAACTGAAGGGAGGTCAGGCGAGGAGAGGAGAGGGGCTGGGACGGGAGGGGGATGGTAAGGGGGTGCAGGAGAGTCTGAGTCCTGTTAATGTTGTGTGCATGTGTGACTGAGTGACAGGTCACACCATCATCTGCAACCATGTTGTACCGATTTTTTAATGGGAGAAAAATAACCTTTCATCTGAGCCTCGATTTCCACATCTCAAAAATGAGACTCTTAGTCCCTTAGAAGGTTACTGTAAGGAGTGATGGAGCAGTGAGCAAGTTCCCTGCGCAGAGGATGCGCACAGTGAACCTTGCCTCTTGACATTGTCTTGCTTTTGTCTTTGAAAATAAAGAGACTGTTCCACCTTCGTCATCTCTTGGAGTGGGTGACGTCTGTAAATCTGACGTGGGTCTTGCTGGTCCCTGTCTGCTGCCTCAAGTTCCCTYGGTGGAGTATCTGGGGTTGCCAAACATGTTCCGGGTAGCCTGTCCGTCACCCTGTGCCTCTATGCTCAGTGAGGGCTGGGTGTGGCTCATGCACAGGGCAGAGGATCTCCCAGTGGAGAGCTTCCCTGACCAGGAGAAGATTTTTGTATTTTCCACCTTTGTTAAGTGCACATTTAAAAAAAAAAAAACTATGATATGATACAGTAGCTTTTGTTTTTTAAAACTACAGACCCAGAGATGCAGACCTTAGTTGCACATTCATTTTTCCCTCTGAAGAACAAATTTTTGAAATTCTGAGCACATGAATTCTATTTTGTTACTTAGGGTTCAACGCTTGATGAGTGACCGTGCATAGTAATGGGAGAGCAACGTGTAACCTGATGGAAGTTTTTGCTTCAAGGCAGAATTGTGTGTTTCTGATGGATGTGAATGTCTTGCTTCTCCACAGCACCGTGTGTGTGTGTGTGTGTGTGTGTGTGTACATACACATGTACATGCTTCTGCTGCACCTTTCTGGGGCTTTGCATATTGTGACAGTGACATGACTACCTATTTGGATGGTTTATCAAAAATATTTCATATGTGGATTCCTTTAGCTTTTCAGCTCACTGCCTCTGATCTGGGTGAGGAGTTGTCATCTGAACAAATTGAAATACTACCTTTGAAGATTATGGTGTCATCCTTATCCTGTGGCATGGCCTCATTTCTTTCTTCATTTAAGCCAGCCATGAAGACTTAAGCTCCTGTGTCTACATATGTACAAAAGTTAATCATCAGGCCTCTAAAGGTCTTTGTAGGAGGCTTTGCTGAAGCGTCTGCCCCTTCGAGTGCTCAGCGTGTCTTGGGAGCCTCACTGAACATTGAAGGATGAGAGCAAGGGTCAACTAAGAAGTTGATCCAGAAATTACGGTGGCTGGGACATTGTCTTCCTGTGTGTGCTCTTTTTAATCATAAAGGCGTGTGCTGTCTGTCTTCGTTGTTCGCCTTAGTCTGAGACAGAGCTCCAGCCGCTGGARCGTGGCCTTTCGGCCTCCCGTTCTGTTTACCTGCTTAGTCACATTTCAGATTGTTTTAGAAGAGCAGTAGTGGCCATTCTGGACCCACTGTAGCAGAGAAGAGCCGCCATTTTTGTGGCAGAGATACAGAGGTGCTAGTTTGTTCTCTTGGTGTCAAGGTTCCTCTCTCTCCCTGTCCTCCATCTATGAGGAGGTGGCGGTAGCCTTGGTCACCAGTAGCCTAAGGTGAAGAGAATGTAGCCTAGGGAGAGAAGAGAAAGGGGCCCTGAGCAAGGCGTTATCGCCCAGCTGTGGAAGTCGTCTTCCTGCTGTGACTGGCAGGAAAGAGACCAGAAACTGGTGGCTCCTGGGCAGTGTCCTCTTCTTGGTGGCCACCCTCGTAGGAAAGACTGATGGTGCGCTCATGTCTCAGAACAGGATGTCTGTGAGGGT